TATATATATATAATAATTTAAACTTATTGCACTATAACAACCAAACAGCTCTGTTTACTCTATATGCTATGCAGTGAATAAACTATGGATTATTTTACATATTATGAATGACTGGTTAAAACAACACATTTCTTCTCATAGATTGTTATAGCATCAGTTAAAATTTCTAGATAAGCTGCTAGTTATTTTTAAGAGTATTGGACCAGACTATTGATTCCACCACTTAAGGCAATGTTATCTTATCTGTAAGTGTAATGAGGTTTCAGTGTTAAAAGAAGAGAGGTGCCTTGTGACAGTTGTCTGTTTTTGGCCTGGGAAGAAGCTCCAGTTTGGGAGTGATTTGTGATGTACTTTGACCCACCAGGCAACACGGCCCCTCTGGGTCATCTGTGTCAACCCAGAGGATGTGAACAGGGCATACTAGAAGATTAGATGTAAACTGTGGAGCTTATACCATCATCTGTCTGCAATGTCAGTTTAGCAAGTGTTTATTTGGACAAAAGTACTCTATCAGTCTGATATTGGTTTGTACAAATAAGTGTGTTTTTTATTTGCTTGTGTGGATTTGTCTAAGTAAATAAAGAAGTGTATATAATGGAGATGATGCATATTTATAAGCACAATAGACAAATTGTTGGTCTGGTCTCAGACATGATTCGTCTGAAAAGAACATTATTTGTTTAATGCAGAGTTATATGTGCTAACAGTTACAAATTTCTATTATTAATGCTAATCTTTTTTTGATTGTTATAAAATCACTGCAACACAATTATCTAAGCTGAATATAAACCTACTCCACCAGCCAAAACAAGCATGGACTTAATAATTTACTATAAATATATATTTTTGTTTGTTTTAAGACGTTCTTTATCACACATGAAATTAGATATTGAATTTAGAGGACAGAGACAAGTCTGTTTTGAGAGTCTTGTCAAATTATTAAAATCACATTAATGTGAAAATATGAGACTTCGAGGTTTGAGATATTCTTTCTCGTGCTCATGAAACTGCCTTCAGGGAGAAGAAGGAATGGTTTTAGGTCCGAGGAATTTGGTGGGAACCTCTGAGATTGCCAAGGAAGAGGCAAATGAAGCTCAAATAAAAGCTGATGTACTTGATCGTTTACAAAAAAATCAAACATCACTTTGCTGCTGTATTTAACTCATTTTGGAGGATTCCATTACTTTCCTCAATGTAATGTAATATAATATAATATAATATAATATAATATAATATAATATAATACTTTATCCTGCCTTCAGTTAAGGTCTCTCAACAAAGCATATACAGTATGTTCTGAGGAAAAACATTATATTGTAGTTCTCCAAGGCCAAACTCCCCCCATACCAGCAAACATAGATAAGCTCTGGCTGTATCCTTTTCATAAGACTGTGCTCTGCCATGGATTATATTAATAACACATTTCAGATATTACATACCACCACTGATATTGTACTTAAAAAGGCAAGAAACCAGCGGCATTTGGATCAAATCTGTGGATAAATTGGTCTTAACTGTGAGAGCGTGCAGTGCAGTCACCTCTATTTATGAGAATGAGCTAACCTTATTTGTCATGCAAGAGATTTCAAAACCAGCCAGAAATGTATGCAGCAAAGAGATAAGAGTGGTATATGTATTAATGTTTGTTCGTATATTACTATATATGGTTATTTTCTGAGAGTATTTGATTTAATTGACTGCTAAAGAGGATTGGATAGAATAATTTGTGCACAATTTCTGTCGTAAATCTTTGGCCAGATGTTTGAGATTAATAAATAATCAAACATATATTTTCTTTTTTTTTTCTGTCCTAAGGGTATCCATCTGGAATGACACCAATTCATGATGAAGATCAAAATTCACACATGTACAAAGACATAAAGTCATGAACCACACTCCAGTAACTCTCTTCACTTAGCCCAACACGTACAATTAAATCCAAACCAACACAGAAGCAGAACTCTCATGCTGGGAGTCACGTGAGATGTTAACTATGGACGTCACTCAGCGTTTAAACTTTAAATGTGCATCCAATTTTCTCAAACACACCGCCTGTTTGTCTTCCCTGCCCCGACATGGCAGAGTCCCGCATGCCATTTTGCAGGGCTATCCCTCCAAGTCATCCAACAAGGCGCTCACACGAGTGTGGCAAGAGCGATTTCTAATTTATAAAAGCCAAAAGGATCGATGCAATATTCATGAACAATCTGTCCCATCACATTTCTGTAACTGGGGGGCAGTATGATGACAGTGCAGCGACATAAAGGAAAAGTTCTGCCTCCGTGTATTCAGGACTACTTTAGCCTACATCTCCCTCGGTCCACAAATAATGCATTGACTTTATTGATGTGCTGTTGCAGTTTGTTCCTTCCTAGATTAAATAAATAGATAAATAAATAAAGAGAGGGAGGAAAAAATGAGTATTGAGTTTTACAGGTCAAGTTCCAGGCTCTGCTTTCATCATGGAAAGTTCAAGCTATAGCTGACTTTCCATGTAAAAGACAATTAAACTCTTCTTCCACATTTGGTGGATAATTGAAACAGGCTAGTGAAGCTGCACTCTTATGCCTTCTGCGGGACTGCTGGATCTGACAAGGGTAGACTGTTTGAGCTAAAATCAGGCCTACCTAATAATAACATCTGTAAATGTCAGCTATTCTTCATTGCACACTCAAGTTTATTCACAATTTTGATTTTAACCATTTAATTATTAAATATAAAAAAAAATAGCAGAGAGAAGAGCTCTCTGACTTAAATGTATCAATTGCATAAACTAAAACAATGTTTTTCAGGACAAAGGTAGCCTACTGTGTGTATTAACACCTCTTTTATACTTGCACATACTGATAAAGTAAAATAGTGGCTAGTCCACTGAGAAAAAGACATTAGATAGGGTTCTGTGCAGTGTTACTCTTCTTTACTTGATACAAACACAATGTACTTTCGTGCTGATATGGAATTTGTCACTATTAGTTAGTTTACCACGGATAAATAAATACAACTTTTTTTCTCACACGCCACAGGAATCTTAATTAGAAACAGTAATTTGACGACTGTTCTGTTGTTCAGGAAAACAAACAAAAACATGTGGCGCATTCTTCCTGTTCAAAAAGAAAACAGTCGCTGGTTTTTGTTCAGGAACACTTTATATGGAACAGGCGAATGGATTACTGGGATAGTCCTGCATGAAAAGTGTTGCCACACACCGCCATCTAGTGAACCATCTTCAGCCTGAGCAGTTTCACCTTTTGTTTCGCACAGGACTTCACTTGTTCTTAGGGAAGTCCTAAAGTACGTTTTGCTCAATGTATTAATCTTTATTAATCTTAACTTATTATGTACTACACTCTAAAAAATGCTGGGTTAAATATAACCCAGCGCTGGGTTAAAAAGGGACAAACCCAGCTTTTGGGTTGTTTTGAACCCAACCGCTGGGTCAAAACAACCCAATAGCTGGGTTTGTCCCTTTTTAACCCAGCATTTTTTAGAGTGTAGTCTCCTTTCTATTAATCCTTGCTTTTCTCACCGAAGTACAAAGGAAAAACGTTTCTCTTTTTGTCAAGAGATTCACCAAAATAGCAAGTAAAATTCAATAAACTTAAAGGGATAGTTAATTCAAAATGAAAATGTTATTTTCATAATTTTCTCACACTCGTGTTGGTCCCATGGCTTCCTTTTGTTCCATGTAACACCAGAGGAGATTCCGTATTAGCAGGATGTTGATAATACAGTGAAGAGCAGGCTGTCAATCTCGATAAAGGACAAAAAAAAAAAAAAACCTTCACAAAAGCATCCCATAAAAGACAGGTGATATAAGGGTTACATAAGGTGCACAAATGCTAAGTGATGATTATCATTGATTAAATGATTCAAAGATGATTAAAGATAATTAAAATCTGAGGAAAGAAAGTATTATAATTTCATGTCTGGTTACTAAAATTATTTACGATCATGTTGAATGACAGAAATGGTATCATTCTTTATTTTAATTCTATATATGGTATATCGCAAGCTTTTCAAATTCATGTTTCATATGTTTAGCATTTTGAATTACAATCAGTGTTGGGCAGTAGTTACGTGTAACTAGTTACTGTAATAATATTACTTTTTGCAGTAACTAGTAGTGTAACTAATTACTAATAGATTTCAGTAATAATATTACAGTTACCATCCATAAAACAGCTCATTATTTAGCTACTTTTGCTGCCTCAACCCCTACTGATTTTAAAATCCAACAATCCAATAAATCCTAGATTTATTTTCCTAATTTTCATGACTCGCACAGGCACATGAAGTCACCGGTGCATAAAGCTTGGAATATGGAAAAGCTTACATGTAGGGGATGGAAATATTGCAATTACACTGATTTTGTCAGGAGAAAAGGTGATCTGAACACAGATGTGTAAGTTGTGGCATTACTTTACTCTGGCATTACATGGCTTGCCCACCCACATCCCTCTGATCCCGATATAAATTATATTACTATAATTAAAAATCTTATTAACATGTGATTTCTTTTGATAAAATACTTCATAAAATATAATCATATTTGGGTAACAGAGAAATTATAGTTACACTTAGCTTCAAGCTTACACATGACAATTAATACAACACTTTTACT